ACACCATATTGAGTGTCCAGTAATTCCGTCTTAAATGTATGCTGAATTGTAGATAAAAGGAGGACAAGGAAATGCAAAGCCACTTCTCAGCTGGGCCTTAGGGAGATTTTCTTTTGCTTTTTGGTGGCAGTTTTTAATTAAATCTGCATAGGTATTCAGTGATAGAAGCCAAAATGACAGAAGGCTCACTGCTTCCAAGAAGTTCCAGAACACACCTTGCCGGAGGAGGGCAGGCAGGCTTTCAAGCCTTGTGTGCCACCGAGGCCGGCCAGATTGCTCAGCTCACCCTGTAAGCCTTTCCCGGATCCTGTGCCACATTTCCCTTCTCCTTCTGCATCAGATACTCAGTAAACATTATTCACTCTTTATCTTGATGACCAATGAGGTTTTTCAACAACTCCTGTCTAAGGTGAATAGCATCTTCCAGAATCTAGAACAAAGGACCTAAAATTAAATAGGCTTGGGTTATTTAATGTTAAAGAAGCTCCAAGCATCTGTATAGGAGACGCTAATTGCTTACTATTTTAATAAGCTGATATTGGTTAATGAGTCGATTTATTTTTAAAAAGTAGAGCACGTAGCAAGAACTGAAGAGCAGTTTGGGCTGAGGAGAGAGATGGCCATCTGGGGCTCTGGGGGAGGCGAGATACTGCAGCCTGAGAGCAGTATCTTGTGAACAGATGATGTCTCCGCATTTTAAAAATTTTGGAGTCATCCAGGGGCCTCACTTCCAGAATTTCCTCTCTTATTTGCCAGACTGACAGGTTTTCTTGGCTGAAAGTTCAGAGAACTATAGGTCACAGTGCAGGTTTTTCTAAATACGAAGAGTTTCGTATATAAAATTGGGTCCGAAAGCTTGAACAAGTTTTTAAACGATGATGTTAGGAATTTAAGGTAACTAAGAAATAAACTTCAGGGACTCCCTTGACATTTGGTAAATGCAAATACATGAAAAGATAAGGAGACAGGGATGGCTTAAGTGATAGGTTTGCCTACAAGCAATTAAATTAGAAGCAGTTGACAAAAGTAGTGTTTCAAGTTCTGCCTCTGAGCAAGATCATTAAACTAGGACTCATACGACCTAATGAAGAAAAGGTTGAATTCAGAAAAGCAGCATACCAATATTTTGTGTAGATGGTATTTTTCTGGAATATGGGTGCATGGTCTTGATTCTCAAAGGATCTGAATCAAAGCACTGCGAAGAGCAAATGCCCATCTCCATTGTTCTTCCTCCCACGTCCCTTCTTTTTTTGTCTGCATTTTCTTCATAGAGACCTAACACTTTAAACCTTCTCAGTCAGACAAGGGGCTGATCTTTAACAAGTGAGTACTTTCTGTGGGATTAGGGACTTCTCAGTGAGAATTCTATATATGGACTCTATAAAACTCATAGGGTTTTAAATCTCAATGTAACATATAATTATTTTATTATGGTTACTGAAACAGAAGAACAATGATAATTTTAACTTCACGTTAAATTAACACTTAATCTTGGTCTATTCTTGCTGTCCCACATTTGTCTCCTGTTTTAAGTATTTCGTTGAATTGCTACCAATGTAGAATGTTTTTGAAATGAGGCTAGTGGTAGAGGCAGATACCAAAAATGAAGTAATCTCAGGTTGCATTCAAATCCTACAATCCCGGGCCTCCCTGGTGGCGCAGCGGTTGAGCGCTGGGTTGCGAAGCTGCCCGCGGCCTCTGCGGCGCCGGTTCGATCCCCGGCTGCTCCCCGGCCACCAGAGGAGGGTCCCACATGGCGCGCAGACCTCTCCTGCCGCCCGCTGCTCCCCTCAGCAGTGTACTTCGGTCCTTCTGCCTGCTCTGCTCCCCCGCTCTGGCTCTGGTGAATTCTCTCACCCTCCCGCGCTTCTGACTGTGCCCAGTGCTTGTATAAACAAATAAATAAATCTTTAAAAAAAAAAAAAAAAAAAAAAAAAAAAAACAAATCCTACAATCCCTTCACAATGAAGTTTTTTTTTTTCTTTGCCATCCATGAAGCTGATGGTCTTTCCTGCACCATTTCATCTCAATCCCACAGCCTGTCTTTACTGTGGGGGTAAACAAATGGTTCAGCTCCACCAATAGGCACCAGACCCTGGGTGCTAGGAATACAGAAAGAGGGTGACAGGGTTTCTGCCCTTATAGTCCATGTGTTAGAGAGCAGATCCTGCAGACAATTACTCCCATGTTAAAAGAAAACTGAGAACTTTTCTCCAAAGAATATATACAAATGCCCAATAAGCACCCCAAATATGCTCATCATCATTAGCCATCACAAAAACATAAATCAAAGGTAATGAAATACCTCTTGACACATTAGAATGACTATAATCAAAAAGATAATAACAACTGTTAAGAAGGATATGGGAATTTGAGCACCTTATATATTGCAGGTGGGTATATAATATGGTGTAGTCATTTTGGAGAATTTGATGGTTCCTCAAAGAGTTAAATATAGTTACCATATAGCTCAACAATTTCATTCTTAGGTGTATCCCTAGGAACAGAGCATGTCACACAAAAGCCAGTATGTGAATGCTCACAGTGCTATTTGTAAGTCAAAAATGGAACCAACCCAAATTCCATAAACTGTGAGTGGATAAAGAAAATGTGCTAGGGCCTCCCCGGTGGCGCAGCGGTTGAGCGCTGGGTTGTGAAGCTGCCCGCAGCCTCTGCAGCGCCAGTTTGATCCCCGGCTGCTCCCCGGCCACCGCAGGAGGGTCCCACATGGCGCGCAGACCTCTCCTGCCGCCCGCTGCTCCCCTCAGCAGTGTACTTGGGTCCTTCTGCCTGCTCTGCTCCCTGCTCTGGCTCTGGTGAATTCTCTCACCCTCCCGCACTTCTGACTGTACCCAGTGCTTGTATAAATAAATAAATAAATATTAAAAAAAAAATGTGATCTATCACCACACCAGGGCAGATGTTAATAAGAAAAGGGGGGTAGTGATATGGGGGGTTACATGGCACTCTCTGCACTCTCAATTTTACATAAATCTAAAATTGCTCAAAAAAGTCTCTATAAACATGTATATATATCCGTAAAATGGAATAGTACTGAGTCACACAAAAGAATGAAGTACCAATATATGCTACACTGACAAACCTTGAAAACAGTATGCTAAGTGAAAGACGCCTACACAAAGGTCACATATGCTTCCATGATTATGGAAGATGTTCAGAACAGGCAGAACCAAGAGACAGGGGGTAGGTTAGGGGTTGCCAGGGCTGGGGCAAGGAAAGTGGAGTGACTGCCTGTGGGTAGAGGGTTTCTTTAGGGGGTCCTGGAATTAGACAGTGGTAGCGCTTGTGCAACCTATTTTTTTAAATCTATTTTCTTACATTATTGTTTATTTTTGTAAAGCAATGATTTCTCCCCTCAGGTGTAGTCCTGGTAGTTCATCCACCACCATAGCACCCGTGACTGAGTTGTATAATTTGGAAAATGTGAATTTTATGACATATAAACTAAATCTCAATTTTAAAAAGGATCGGGGGAGAAAGGCAGTTCTGGATCTGGGGTTCACAAAGGGGTGGTTTAATTCGTTGGCTATCCAACATCCATTTTATAATATCTCTCCTGCTCTTTATATGTGGTCTGCTCCACTTTCTATCATTCTCTTTCATTTTTATATTATTCCAAAACAAAGAACTATCTATTAATCAATTTATCGTGACTAGTATGCATCAGGAACCATCAGGGAAACAGGATTTTTTTTTTTAAGATTTATTTATTTATTTATACAAGTACTGGGTACAGTCAGAAGCTCAGGAGGGTGAGAGACTTCACCAGAGCCAGAGTGGGGAGCAGAGCAGGCAGAAGGACCCAGGCACACTGCTAAGGGGAGCAGTGGGCATGGCAGGAGAGGTCTGCACGCCATGTGGGACCCTCACCTGGTGGCCAGGGATCGAACTGGCACTGCAGAGGCTGCGGGCAGCTTCGCAGCCCAGCGCTCAACTGCTGCACCACCAGGGAAGACCCGGAAACAGGATTTCTTTTGCACACAGTGTAAGTTTTACTTTTAGACAAACCACCATTCTTTTTGGTTGACCAAGGGCAAGAAGAAGAAGAATCCTTTTAGATTTGCTGTGTACATCAATTATTCAGGAAGAACAAAGCAGAGAGTGGTGGAAGAGGACACAGGACCAGCCTTGGATGCACTGAAATAAAGTGGTCTATAGTTCCCTGCACAGTATCATCACCAAGCAACACTAGAAGACAAATGTAAGGAATAAGGACTTAGGAAAGCCTTTTATCTGTCTATTCTCATTCATATGTACAGTATAACTGGATGAAAAAGAAAATGCAACATAGAGGTTGTCTCGCAAAAACAATGCTCAGATCCCTTTATTTTTAAAGTCATAACTTCAGTTTTATTAAAACTAATTTTTTTATATACTGCATATATTTCTGAGATTAAAAATATATATTTTATATATTGCAAATTCTGAAAATTGACCTTTTCTGATGCTCAAGGCATTCATCCATTGCAATAATGATCTCCATCTCATCTCACAGCTTTTAATATCTTTGTAATTACTGAACATATCTATGTGTATATACATACATTTTAAATCTCTAAAAGCAAACAAAATAACTAGGTTAGCAAGTAAACTCAGCTCAATAGGTCATCAGCAAGTTAACCTGTTCTTTTCCTAATTTGCATAATCTGGTACTTTACAAATGATACCAAGTAATTTCTTAGCATTACTTATGATAGAATTAACTATTTCATTTAAATGTCTATTAGACCATCTAGTTTACATCTCTTCAATTTTTTTTTTCTTTTAAACATGTTAATAGCAGGTATGGATGGCACTATACTTACTCAATTATTAACCAGTATAGAAAATATTCTACTCTGTGTTCCATCTCCTTAAAAAAAAAAAAAATACTGCTGGGTACTGAGTACAACATTAGTGTTTCCGGTCTTGAAACACACTTCAAATGAGAAATTCTCTAGTCATGTTGCTCTGATAAAACCAAGAATAGGTGCACTCACCTGGCTTTACAAGGCCTGACTTTGGTTCCTTCTTGTATCGAGCTGGCTGGGCGTTCCCCTCACCAACCATTCCAATTGTGCATTTCTTTCTGGTAAAGTCTTCATCACTTCCAGGGCAGAAGCCAACAGGGCTATTGCCGGCATCAGAAGGCGTCTTCACAGGAGACACTGATTGGCTACTAGGGCAGCCTGTGTCATCTGGAAGACAGGAATCAGTAAGCATGTAATGAGACGAACGACACTGGCTGGGCTGATTGTGACAATCATTTCCCAGTAAGTGTACATCAAACCATTATGCTGTGCACCTTGAACTTATACAGGGGTGCATTTCAATGTCTTCTGAATAAAACAGAGGGAAAATTAAGTTGGTTTAATGAGGAAGAAATCAATGAGAGCAAGGAGAAGTCTTGCAACAAGCTGTGCAGACATGAGCTCATACTCGTACACACCTGAACTCCGCCCATGCTGCTCAGGAGAACTTTTATTTTCCAGATTTTGACCAATCAAGTTAACAAAGAAAATATCAACTAGGAGAAAACATCTTGCAAAACAAAGCCTGACAAGCTTTTTGGATCATAAATATTTCTGATAGTCATGTGGCCAAATCTTACACTTTCAGGTCATAATTGTCCACAGATGTTTGATCAGGTTAGTAGTAAAAAGTCTACCACAAGTCACTCAGGATTATTAGTGTGAAATCTATAGAGTTGCATGTGTTCAGAAAAAAAAATTTGCTTGGATACTATCGATCATGCTCATGTTTTGATCTCTTGTCCATCAATTGGTAATAGAGTTTGATAGACAAGAGAGCTGGCTTTAGGGGTACAAGGAAGCTGAAAGAAGTGATCTTGTTTTATCATTATATACACCCAACCCCAAATAAATCAAACAGATGTCTTGCTGTCTGGGATAAACTGGTAAAATGAAAGTGATATTCAAATGAGAGATACTCCTTTAACTTTCAAGTGACAGATTATTACAACGGTTATCATCAAAAGTTAATAGGCAGATATGAAGTGACCTATGAAGATACCTATTAAGCAAACAGTAAAGTCATACTGCTGATGCCTATAAAATTCTTTCCATATTAAATATTCATTATGTTTGGCTAATTCACTAATACTTTGATGAGATTTATATGGGAATTTAAAACAAATCAATATTACTTAAAAGCAGGTCTACTTAAACCAATCAATTTTCTGTACAAAATAACCCTTTATTATGTGGCAATATTTTGCTGTCAGTTACTTTAGTAAAAAAATTAGACAAAACAAATAAAGGCATTGAGTGCTAATAACTTTTGGACTATTATATTTTTATGAATATAAAGGAACTAAGAGAATTTGCTGCCTATGAAAAAATATCTTAAAACTTCATACCATGAATAAAGACAGAAAGAGAACTATGCCTGAATCAAACATTCTAATTTTCTGAATTACAATGACTAGAATCCATCTAAAAAAGGATTGCCATACCTCATTTTTGCCTTCAATTTTTATTGTGAAACGTCCCAGTTCCTGGGACAAAGTGAACCTGACATTGGTAAATAACTTGTTTCTCTTTATATCCTTTTCACTTTTGAACATATTAGTATACACAGAACCTTAGGGATCTCTTTCTGGAAGTGAAAGGCTTTTGGTGCACCGCTCATGCCTGTCGCTTTGCTGCTCTTTGAAATGTGCTCTGTTCTTCCTGAAGGAACTTTGGCCCTGAATTACAGGATGACAACCTTTCTTGGCTGTTATTGCTCAACTATTTCATCACCTATTGTCCCTGCTTTTCTTTTACATTTGCGTGCCCCAAGTTTCAACCCAAATAAATCCAAACTCTTCTCTAAAAAGGCGCAAAGCTGCTAATTACTCAGATTCCAGAACTTCTACAAGGCTCAACAAGTCTGTCCATTGCCCGAGGAGAGCCTCATTTTTGACTGCTGTCCCAAAGCAGATAAACCAATAAGTGAAGTCTAATCACTCAAAATTACCTAGTGCCTTTAAAATTATTTCCTTATGAGTCAGTACAAAAATTACTTCTTTTGAAAGAGAGATGGCTGGAATAAATAAAAATCCACATTTCAGATCTTCGAAGCTAAAAAGTAAGTTTGCTTAACTCTCATACAGACAAAATACAATAATTTCTAGTATTGAGAAACTGTCAAAATTATACTTTAAATAGACAGCAAACGTTCTTTGATTCTGTCACAATTAGTTTGCTAGAGTTAAATGAGAAAGAATATGAACAAATATGAACAAACCATGTCTATAGTAGATTAATTTCAAGGGTTAGGTGTTAAGGTAGGGTTAAAAATTGGGAACTTAAAGTTAGGAAGCAGTTTAGAGAGGGCTGTAGCAATTGTTTGCCTAGAGTAAGTATCTCACCTGTCATTAATATTTGCAGCTAGTATCTCCAGGGGCAGGGAATGAGACAATCCCTGAACAAATCCTTAACCTTAGTTGTCTTGTATAGCACTTGCTTATTACATAAACTAGTGTTTAGCCATCACATAACTATCTAGTATTGAGCATCAAATCGAATGGGAAACAATAGGAATATAATGGTCTTTCCTTGGTGAAACAAAGATGTTTCAAGTCTTGGCACTGAACCAGCTCACAGGTATTAATCCTAGTCCCCATGCAGATGGAATTTATAAATAAGCCGATAGGAGTTGGGTAAATATCACATTCAGTGTACAGTCCCTGCACAATGGCAAGCCTATTAATGCAAATCCATATCCAGGGAAATCTCTTGAGTCAGCTGAGAAGATTGGGACATTTGACTGTTTTGTACAATGTAACCCAGACTAACAAGGAACTCTAGTTTTGGAAAGGGCCGGCCATTAGCTTTCCTACTACAGAGAGCACCCTTGAAGTGAGTGTGCAAAGTAGTTATGTGTACGTTATGTAAAGCTAAGACCTTAACAAAGGAAATGGAGCTTTGTTTGTGTGACCATGTGGTCACCTGTGTCTCCTGAGGTATTTTTCTCTGTGTAGCACTGAAGATGTATTTGGGCCCTTCTCCCCAATTCTCCTTTACTCTTTTTTTAACTTCATAGTCAGAGTTAGAAGCAGACCACCAAACCGGAAGATAACACTTCTTTCCAAAATTGTAAGTAAAATATTCTTAGTCCACTCCAATATTCTAAAGAATAGTAAAGTCAAGTTGATGTTCTTTGGTAGTTCATGTCTAATTTTACTATGTGCCAAAGTACATGTGACTCGGACACACATTAAACTTGCTTCAGTTAAATCTTTTGAGTCTGCCTTCTGTTTGCTGCTGGTATCTTGAATGTTGAATTTGTCTTGCAGGTTCCACAGATTTATAAACACAGTATTGATAAGGTTAGCTTTTATTAGTTATATTAAGTATAAAGAAATTTTCAATGACAAAAATTTCTAAAGGCACCATGAGGAAACTTTCTGGGTGGGATATGGTGGAAATCCCAAATGATCTTCCCAGAAAGAATGCGATGTTTCAAATTTCCACAGAAATGCCTGAGAAAAATAAGAACTTTCCAGGCTGGTTCTGGCATAAGGGAAGCTCTGCACTAAGGCTTTAGGAAGAACATGCAAAGGCTGCCAATCTATTAGAGTGGGATGAGTTTTTCTTTTCAAACACACATACAGGGACCTCCCTGGTGGCTCAGGGGTTAGGCTCAGTGCTCTCACAGACACGGCTTGGGAGCTACCCACATGGTGCAGTAGGCCTCTCCTGCCTCACCCGCTGCTCCCCTCAGCAGTGTATTTCAGTACATCTGCCTGTTCTGCTCCCCACTCTCTCTCTGGTGAATCCTCTCACCCCCTGCACCCTAGTTCTTATATGCATAAATTAAAGAAATCTTTAAAAAAAAAAAACACACATACAGCCAGCCCTTACATAGTTGAGTTTTTATACCTCTTTATTATTCATGGTAAGTATAATTTCATAGAACAAAACCAAAAAAAAAACATAAAAGGACCATGTTCCCTACTTCATATAGTGTGATCAAGTTGAAAATACAGGATGATTTCCTTCTAGATCAACAAATTTTAAAGCCCACTTACATGGGCCCAGAATGGCTCCTAGTGGTACTCAAAAAAAGTGACCCTCGTCAAAGTCACATCTAAATGATCACCACCTACAGGGAAAGGGTTCACTTACACACTCTCCTTGATTTATATCCGAGAATGTGCTTTTTTTTTGCTGTTGTTTCTGTTCACAGGATTAATGATACTGGAAAGAACAAACACAGATTCAGGAATCTCCATAAGCTGAGGACTATTGAAAGGGCTAAGTGAAACAGTCCCAATGACTAGTTTCCAAATTGATGTTAAGGGAAAAAAAAACAAAAAACAAAACTTAAGACAGGTGGAGATCTGAAACTATAAGATACATAGAAGAAAACAAAGGTAAAAGTCTCTCTGATATTGGTCTTAGTGATGGCTTTATGGATTTTTTCAACAGCAAGAGAAACAAAATAGAATATAAAAAGGATTACATTAAACAAAAAAGCTTCTGCTCAGCAAAACAAACCAATTTCAAAATGAAAAATGAAAAAATTCCAACTCACAGGTACACATTCAAAGTGACCTAGGGGCCAATTCTTTATATTGAAATTTGACAATTAAAGAAAGATTTAGCATCTTTCCTGATTGTAAAAACTGCCCCTATCCAAATTTATTTCAGTGTAACTGACATCCCTCATTGACAATGGGAAGTTCTTCCATATAGAAGCATCGGATAGAATAAAACAGAAAATTACTCATTTGCAACCTCTGATAAAATAAATGATTTATGCACAAGCATAATGGATGAAAATGAAACAAAAAGCCGAGAGGTAGAGTACAGTGGAGGGACCAGGCCTTGCCCATCTGTACCCACTGGATATTCTTAGCATCACCAACCGGTGAACAACAGACATCATGTACTTCCAACAGGATAGAGATGGGGAACACAGCATTCCTCGTGAAGTATTACCACCAAAAATTTTTCCCAAGTCTAATTGAGCTTTAAAAGCTAATGTTCACCTTATAAAATATATGGAGGAGAGAGTGATGAGTTAAATCAAGGGGAACTGCAGGCTACAGGCCAGATCCTATTTGCTTTCTGCTTTTGTAAATAAAATGTTGTTGGAACACAGCCATGCCCAATCCTTTACATATTGTCTGCTGTGGTTTTCAAGCTACACTGGCAGAGATGAATCATTGTGACAGAGATCATCTGGC